TCATCACTTGGCTCAACTTGCAGTGCTATTTACAGCATCAGTGTTCAGGACAATGTTTAGGCACAAAGTGCACTGGCAGCTCCCTGCCCCCCCCTAAAAACACATTTTCAGTCTTATTTTTAAGCAGATACGTATGCAAATAAATGCGTATTGAAACGAACAGCTTTTTGTCAGATTGGGAAATCTTACTGTATTTGAGAGCACCTTTCTTATAGTGAGACCTCCTATTCAAAATGGGCTACAATATTGAAACTGTCTCGGGAAGAAAGAAAGTTAGAATTCAGAGCGGAAGAGTGGGACAGAGAACGGGACGGGTGTTTCAGGTGCCTGACAGTAAGGATTGCACCACTGATGGAACTCTTCCAGTCACAGTGGGGAAACGCACGTTTGTGGAGAAAACCTGCCTCTGCCTGAGCTGTACGTGTAAACCTGAGGTCAGGTGAACTGCGTCTGAGGCCGTTTCTCTCCATCGATGCTAAGGGGAGTTTGGTCTCTTGGCTGGGCTGTGTATCCATCTTGAGATGGATGAGCTGACTCCCAGCCTCTCTATTTGCCCTTCTACACCTTAATCTCTTGCTGCTGTCCCCTGTTTCCAAATGCTGTTTGTTCTTCTGTGTCACAGGGTGTGTGAACTGCGTGTTTTCAGGTTCAGGAGTGGCTGCAGGAAGATACCTCTGTCAAATGTGAAACAGCTGGAGAAGATTATGGCTGTGCGGTACCGGCACCAAGCTGAAATACTTCAAAATGTAACAAATAAGCTGGTCATAATGTACATTTGCTTCAGAAACAACTCTTCGTGTCTTGAGACAATTTTATTAATCATTAATTCACCTTTTGGGGCATTAATTTATTAGAAAGGTGGAAATACACTTAGGCAAATTCTCCAGCTCTTTTTTTTGCAGACTCGGTCTTTATTCTGCTTACAAATACTTTATCTGGTGGTGGCGATTTCCTGAGGAACACAAATAGTCTTTAAAAATATCCTCTCTGAAATATTATGTCTCTTTTATTTCTTTTTTCCCCCACACTAACAACTACAATGGTCAATTCATTTTACAAGTGTCAGACTTTTTTCACTCTTACTGAAAAGACAGGAAAAAAAATCCCACTCATACTTTTTAAATATTACAGCATTTTTATTAATCGTCTATTGAGGCAAGTTTATAAAGAAACAAGAACTCGAAACGTAATTTCATGTTTAGGCTGTAAACTGTCATTGGCTACCACCTAATGAGTCCTGTCTCTACGGGGTAATTAAATGCTTTGTTTTACAAGGAAAGCCCATGGAAATTGTTCGGATCATATAAAAAGAGCAGTTTACACAGTCGCCAGGAGTTGTAACAGAACTCTAGAGGTGGGTACTAGGTGACAATGCAATGCTGGCTCTTAGCTTCAGTGACTTCAGAGAACCTTTAAGTGACCTTATCCCTGTCATTTTCTTTCAAATTCCATTCGATTCAGAAAGTTACCCACCTGGTTCCCTTTCTGCAAAGCGGAACATCTCTCTCTGTTTGAACCCCAGGTACAGTTTACGTTTGACCTTGTTTTCACTTTTTAACAAATACCTTTTGGTCTGTAGTGTCGTAAAACAGAACAATACTTAAATACTTCATTAACCTTCAAGATCCACAAACATAAGTTTATTGCAGACCACCTCACAATGGTAAAATGCATCCCCCAGTTTCTTCTAAAACGTGGCAGGATTGGGTTTCAAGCACACGTTTCTATACACACATCCACATTTAACCACCTAAGCCAGTATGTTTTTTTAAACATTTGACCTTTCGGTGCCAAGGAAAGTGCATGCAACGGAAATTAAAATAAATAAGCAAATAAATGTCTCTATGAATGTAATACTATCACACCCAGGTCAGGTGATACATATTGCATGAATAAAAGCCACCACTGCCACGCTGGACCTTTAGAATCACCTTTGTTCAAGCCAGAGATGTGTCTTCTCAAAATTCCAGGCTTTGTCAATTACTCTGAAATTGCAACTAGGCTTTAATGTGTGGAAATTATGAGCAGGAAGGAATAAACTGAGGAAAAAAACTGGTACTGTTGGTTATATTAAGCCAAAAATGCCTTGCTAAGAAAGCATGCTGTTTTGACTACTGTTGAACTACTGTGTCACGAACTTCAGCCAGCTTAGAGTGCCATTGCGCCCCAATGCTGCCACTCCATGGAGCCGTGTCTCCAGGAAGCCAGGCTCTTCACTGAGCAGAGAACATTTTTCATCAGAAATTAAGTTAAAAACAATAATTTCACGTTTACAGTTTTGCTTTGGTTCTTTAAATAGAACAACTGAAACATTTGGAGGGACTGTTTATATTACATTTCTTGGGAAGGCCAGAGTGACCGAAAGGCCCCTGTAAGTGGCACGGGTGCCCAGCTGGTCCCATGTCCTGCTGAGGGTGGCTGCGGGCCAGTGCAGTGCCAGGACGGGGAGGGGGGGAAGCAGGATCCAGTACAAGCTGCTACCCAAAGGCTGGGCTGTGGCAGTACGCCCACCTTCTGTGTGCTGCTACAGCCGAGAAAATGCTGGCAGGTGAATCTGGCAGTTCTTAAGCCCAAGACTGAAAGGGGCAGAGACTTTGCTCCAGACGTCCCTGGCTTAACAAAAACATCTGGAATTACCCAGCCGTGGCTTATGTAGAATTGCCTTGTGCCCGTGCTTCGGTATGATGAGTACTGGGCTCCACCAGCTAAGGTTTGCGGAAAAGTCGTGCCCTACCACGATACTGTTTTACTGCCTGCGTTAACCTCTACCTGTGTGCCTGAGTCAAATGCTTTTCAACACAAACTTACCAAAACTGATCTTTTTGCCCCAGGGAAGCTGTAGTTTTGACGAAACTGCATTATGTACTGGAAAGTTTTTTGACCAGTTCTGTTAGAACACAAAACGCTGACACAGCTGCTCAAGTGCGGACTTACACTGCTGGAGGAAGTTGTACTGCACGTGGCAGAACACGCTTGTTAGCAGTACAGGATCCAACAGATTTCTAGTGAGAGTCTGAGGCAAATGCCTCAAACAGAAGTAATTTTTTTACCGCAAGACCTTCCAGAATAATTTGCTTATGGCGCTCTTCGTAAACAATTTCTGCTGTCTGCATGCCTTTCCCTTCCACTCACACCCGCAGGGACCGATGTGAAGAGAGGCACTACTCACTACTTCTCACCACCTTCTCTGAGGAAGTGCTTCTCCTTTTCCTCCTCCTCAGGGACAAGGACAGTTTGAGAAATGATCCTCCAATATAATAAAGAACAGTTATTTCTACTTAAAAATGAGGAAATGAGGTTGCAGTCATTTAAGGGAATTAGGTTCTTAGAAACCACATTTGAGGATTAGAAAACGTAATTGAAGGATTCTGTGGCAGAGCAAGGATCTGAAGGAAAGTTGCATGACTAATTCTATTAGTGTACTGAGCCTGGTCATCCAGCTTCTTGGCTTCTCCATTTGTAAAATACTACAAATGGCACTTAAAGCCACTTCACCCAGTCAAAATTTTAAGAGAAGTAATCTCTCAGGGTTCATTCACAGTTGCCTACTAGAAAATTCAAATAAATGCTTCATGAGCTCAGCATCTTCTCTAATGGGACAAACCTCCCTTTGTGCAACACTGGGTGGGGTTTCATCTTAACTCACTTTAGTCATTTAGAAATTAAGCATCTACACTACCTTAGCCATTCCATCCCCTCGATGGTCAGTGATGAGGGACAGACATATCCAGAGGGCAACTTCTCTCACCTAAAACAGGCATGTAAGGTAAATGGTACAGTCACCTCACAGCACTGACCAAAGGAGAACCTGAACAATGATGTATGTGGACAAGGTGTCCTTACTGCCACGTGGAAAATATTTTACTCATTATTTAATTGTAAGACCCATTCTACCACTTCAAAACAATCTTCTTTCTCCGTTTTTCTTAAGGTGTTCCATGTGGGGATAGCAAGACAGGACTAAACAAACAAACCTCAAGTGGCACTTCCTTTCCCTTGAGATTTTTGTTTGGATTTCTTTTTCTTGGTAACAAGCAACCAGATGGTTTTCTGAGTACCAAAACACACAGCACAATAATTCATGTCCAGACAAATACTGTGAATGCTTCCTGGCCCATTGGGGTGCCTGGGAACATGCTTGGTGGAATGGAAAGGAAGATTTTTTTTCATTGTCTAAACAATAGACTTAAGTGCCAGGAACTCAAAACTGTAATATCCAGCTGAAGCTCTTCACAGCTTATGTATATACACTCCAAATAAACACCAAGTGAGACATATCCTCCTACCAATCAGAAAGCCTTTCATCCTAAACACTTTATATTATTTTAATCATATGTTGAGAAAAACAAGTTTGTACCTTCACTGGATGATAAACCAGGCACAAAGGAGCCCGCTACGGCATATTAACTTAGTCTGGTGATAAAAGTATACTATATAAGTTTTAGCAGCAAACAGGTCACTGTTCCATAAAATCCAAATGCAGGTTGTTGAAGAAAGAAGGAAGGAAAAAAGGAAAGGAAGAAGGAAAAAAGAAAAGGAAGAAGGAAAATATGAAAGAAGGAAGGAAAAAAGGAAAGGAAGAAGGAAAAAAGGAAAGGAAGAAGGAAAAAAGGAAAGGAAGAAGGAAAAAAGGAAAGGAAGAAGGAAAAAAGGAAAGGAAGAAGGAAAAAAGGAAAGGAAGAAGGAAAAAAGGAAAGGGAAAAAACCAAACCAAACCAAACTCCAAACGGACAGATAAGATAACGATAGCTTATTTTGCTTGACTTTAAGTGGGAAAGGGTAGTTTATGCATTAGTTTTTTCTTGTTAAATTCTGACTGCTGGCCATGAACACTCACAATACATCCATGCTGTGGCCATCTTTACAAAACCGGTATGTTAGTGGACTTCACACATTTCCTAAGCTGATGGACACTGAGTCTTTCTTCCCAAACCTTTGCACAATCTGGCCATGAATAAGTTCTCCAAAGGAGAAGTATTTTCAAGAGGGAAGAGGACGTACTCTTCAGCTTGGTGGTGGTCAAACCTCAATTTCGGAATGCTCCCACTCTGCTCGCTTTGCTAATGAAGTTTTTCAGGAGGTCGTGGTCCATTTCTGCGAAGCCTTGAGTTTGTGTAACAACAGTTAAATGGTTTATGCAAAATCTGAAGCAAAATTCTTCCAAGTCCTATGAACAAATAGAAGTTAAGTTGTAATCTGAATGACTGATAGCAAAATTATTAATAGTATTTTTCTGTTTCAAGTCTGTCATTTAATTAGTAGAGAATGTATCAGTTGTTCACATTACCAATCCCTTTTCTGATCAGTTTGATTGGATCACAGTTGATAGGATGAAATTTGTTCATACAAACTATTCAATGAACTCTCGCTGAGAAAACAAGTAGCCACCTAAATTGACTCTAGAACTCCATCACATTTACTGAGCTCATTAGAAAAGTTATTAATAAGCAAAACCATCAACTTTCCCCACGTGCAACTACCAGAGCATCAGTAACTTCTTTCTTTTCCTCCTGGCACTGAATTCAGTAGTGGTTCTGTGAAAAACAGAAGATATCCTAGTCTTGCTGAAAATAAAAGCAAAATATGATGTAACATTCGATGATGGTCACTGAACACAAACTGGATGTTAGGATACATGTGTCTTTTGCGGTCAACCTAGGAATTGTGTGTCCCTATCTAGGAACTGGGATTCTTAGACAGCAAAAATGGTTCTGTCTTGTCCTGGTCTGGCTGTAACAGGGTGTTCAGATGTTCAGCACAGGATAGGTACAAGCCATTAAGCCATACAACCATGACACACCAGTGGCAATCCTTCTCTCCATGCACTGCGTCAATCCCATTCAGCTGGTTCCTATGCAACAACTTGCTGTTGAAGGAAAACTAATTTCCTTCTGCAGCAAGCAGCGCTGGAGTCAGCAGCAAGGCAAGTCTAAATTGGCAGTATGATCCACGATGGTGGTGAGGCATTGGAACAGGTTGCCCAGAGAAGATGCAGATGCCCCATCCCTGGAAGTGTTCAAGGCCAGGTTGGATGAGGCTTTGGGCAACCTGGTGTAGTGGAGGGTGTCCGTGCCCATGGCAGGGAGGTTGGAACTAGATGATCTTTGAGGTCCCTTCAAAGGGGTCTATGAGGCAGTTCTACTGTATCCCTTTCTGAGCTGTGGATGTAGGGAGGAGGGCAACAGTGCACTCCTGAGTTTGGCACATGCTGCACCCCCGACAGGTGAACCAATTCATCATCTGATGATCGTGTTAAAACACTACATGTTTTGAAACAATACTAGGTATACAGAGTAAAACACTGAATCATAGAAGGAAGGGGAGGATAACATATTTAGTCATCCAGCCAATCCCTTTTATTGTGTTTCAGCCATTATAAACTCTAGTACTTTGTCCAGGCTGGTTTTACTACTTCACAATACACCTAAATGTATCTCTAACTACTCTTTAACTACTTCACCTGACACAGGTCAACTAAAGGTACTTCTGCTTTGGACATGTTCAAAACTGTTGAAAACTTCTAAGAGGAGAAACTCTAGAGTAAACTTTTAATGATAACTTCTGCTGGTAGGAGAATCAAATCACGTGGTCCTCCTGTCCTGTACAGTCTTCCCTGATATACTGGGCTTCTACCACCACAACACATTGACAGTACAACTCCTCTTTGCCTCAGCTGTTCATGCTTTCTGTTACTGATACCTTGGTTACAACTGCCTTGTAACTGGCAGCTGATAATCTCATTATCTACTCATCTGATGTTATCCCCCTCATTTGATTTACAAAACTCACCGACTTCTGTCCTCCTCTTTGCAACTCCTACACAAATTCAACTCATCTAGTACGCTGCTGCCATACAGCACAGACTACTGCAACATTTTTAACTCAGTTTTCATTCCAGTCTCTTCTTTCCACTTGCTTCCCATACCTAGAACTGTTTATCAATCTATTGGATTACACTGCTAGCCTCTCCTCTATTAAAACTTCATCCTACATTTCACAGCCAGGCAAAAGCAAAAAGCAAGTATTTTTAAAAAACGTTGCTATCAGCTACATATTTTGGCTCTTCTAATAGGCTATCTTCTGTTTGGCTATATAAATTTTATTCTTATAAAGCAGAAGTCTTGAACAGAAAGATGAGGACTTCTCAACTAAGATGTTCAGTTATAACAATGGCTACTAAGTCTAAAATACATATGCAGACTTCTTGAATAATAAACACCACCACCTCATCATTATTTCCACATTCAGCATAGCACAAAGAAGTTGAGAAAAGGAAAATATCTTTGGAAGTATTTGTCTGTTTACAAAAAAAGCGCTTGCAGTACTGCTGATAACAGGGTGAGTGCTAGTGAAACATTCCAGAGCCAAGGGCAGACCAGATGACAGGATATGGGGAGAGGAATAACAATAAGTAATTTGTTGCATGTCATCACGATTCATTGTAAACACCATGGCAAAAGTGGATTTTTTATATAAGGACAAGTGTAAATAGGGAGGGACTTCACAGGTAAATTCTCCCACTGCCTGTAAAAGGCGTTACTGGAATGACTGTACCAGACACCAGGAGACAAAACGATCAGGCAGAGAACTCGGGAAGTGAACAGGCAATGCAAAATCCAAAGGTGGAGAGTAAAGGGCAGTGAGAAATCTGCATGCCATGCCATGCCGTGCCGTGCCAGATGACAAGGCAGGAAGCAGATTAAGAATCGTGACTCACAGGTGCAAGCCAAAAGGCCAGGAAGAAAACACTAGGAGCTGCAGTTTTTTATGGCTTAGAAAGGGGAAAACAAATGTCTGGGAAGCCAGAAAGGGAAATCGCAGTAATCACTCCTCATCAGCTAAATGCAGTTACGTCTATGTTAAAGTTTCATTTCTCAGAAAACAACTGTTTGCCTGAAGAGAAGTTCTCCTTACCTGAGCTTCATATTTGACAGCAGCGGAAAGAAGAGCAATGGCATTCTCTTCACAAATGCCTTGCTTGATCGTTTGCTGGCAAAGCTTTTTCAATCTGTTTTCTCTATATAGTGTTGCCAAATCTAGCAGTCCTGTGAAAATTCACACAGCTTTAACTATCCTAGTGCAAAACATACTAATTTCTTTTCAAATTAATCAATTACCCTATTGTTTTAGGCTGAATTAATCAAAGACTTGTTCTTTTTTTTTTTCCTTACATGATGCATGAATTTTTAAAGGTCCTCAAAAGACATATCAAAAAGAGACCCTTTTATCACTATGCGAGTGTTCTGTCTTCTTGTTCACTGTTTTGTATCTCGTTCAAAGCATTAATTAATGACTTATATCCTCTTAAATTCATGCAGGGACCAGCTCCCTTTTCATTCATGATCAAATTGCCACAGCTACTCAAACAGAAAAGTTTTAAGATGGCATTAGTGCCTTTTTAAGGAAAAAAAAAATTCTTAATATGAGAAACAATTAGCTCCTTCTGAACATTGTGCATCTCTGATCTTATTGCATCCCCACCACTCATTCTCCTGGGGCATGTTTCTTGCTACCATATCCCTTTTTCTTGACACCTGCCAAACCCAAGATTTAAGTGCTAATAAAAGTAAAATTAACAAGCCCTGCTTTCCTCACCCTGTTATGACACACAAATTGAACTTTTCAGAAACATCAACCTAGAATTATTTCCATTTATGGCAAATACCTATTGCATCTTCAGGAGGGAGCCTAATGTTGTCTGTGTAGAGGTATTCCAGGAAGGCTCGGTAAACAGGATAAGAAAAGTCACTCATTTCTATAATTTCATCATCATTATTCAGTATGGAACGAAAATGTTCACACCTACAAAACATGAACGAAGATTGTATACTGTAAAGAGTTCGGTCCGAAAGATGAGCTGCAGCAAGAACTTGGTAAAAAAACCCAACCAGTCATAACAGATGAAATACACAACCATAAATTCTAGCTACATGACTTCTTGGTTTGAACATATTAATTTCTTTAAGCCTTATAAGGCTTATATATATAAATTCAGAATTTTTCTTTATTTCTGTTATTAATATTTTGTGGTAGGCTCCATTTCTACTTGAAATATCTTTAAGGACAGTCCACATGGTTTTGATGTAATTCTCTCAAATATGTTATACTATGTTAAACTATGAATTTTATTACCTGGCTCGTATCACATAAAGTTTACAATTAATTTAGACAATTCTCATATTTCAACTTGCTTTCTCCAACATGATCTACTGAGAAGGGGAATTATTAATATTTTAGATAACATTTATTCCAGTCAGAGTCCATACATAATTTAGCATTAATCATAATACTCAAGGATTAAAATACTTAAAGTGAAGACACTCTCACTCAGATCTTTCATCACCTTTTTCTTCGAAGTCTGAATACTTTTGTGACAGACAAGATACAAACAAGGAAAAAGCACTGCCTTTGATAGCTGTACTCTGCAACTTACAGTTCACAGTACCTTACAACTCATTGTAACTTACTGCTCCCTAAAAAACATCCTGTCACATTTGATTAATTTTCAAAATTTTTGCTGATGTAAATGAACATCAACACCTCAAATAACTTTTCCTATAACAGCCACAATTTAACTGGACTCTTTCATACTACACTATTTACTTTCCAACTCTCCTACACCAGAATTTGCTTTTCTTTCACTAAAACTTTAATGTAAAAGGTATGTTGGTTTCCTTTCAATGTCTCTGGGACAAGCCTACATTGTAAAGACAGCATGAATAAATGAATGAATACATACGAATGTATTACGTTATGTAATGTACATACGTACATCCATCACTTATGTAATACATAAATGACTAAATACAAATGAAAAATAATTATTTATTTTATCACTTAGATTAACTTCTTCACATTTAATTTTACTGGCTATTTAAAGAATTTTTCTTCTTAGCATTTTATTTTTTAATTAAATAAATGAGCCTCAAGTCAAATTCATAAAGAATTAAAAAGTAATTATCTAGCTTCTCCCAGATCTTTCACCACATTCTGGCATTGGAAGGGGCAGAACAAACCCCATTGCTCTGTTTCCCAGAGATTCCTGTTAAGTAGTGGTGACCATGCTATCCATCCAGCTGTGGAATAGACCTTGGGAATGGTTTGTTGCCCCAGTGGCACCACACAAAAGTAAAAAGTCAGAGAGAAGGTGATGCACATTGCTCCCTTGAAAGTAAACAAGTAAATAAAAAAAACCAAACATCAGTTCGTCCTCATCCTTCAGTCTGCAAAGTACCTCGGAGTGACTCATCCTTTGGAGTGCCTCTCTCCCTCTATCTCTCAGTAGAGACAGACCAGACACCTAACTTTGGCTGGCTAAATGCTAAATTACTTTATAAGTAGTAACAAAATGACTGGATAATGAAAAGAAACTTTCACCAGCACTGCATTCATGACAATGCTCTGGAACAGGCTGAATGCTGCAAAATACCATTTTAAATACATTATCCTCTGATCCAGTTGCATCATCAGGCTATAAGGCTTAAAGAAAATATTTATTCTACAGACTGTGCCTGATGCTTTATTATTCCTGCATATTATTTTGATAATGCCATACATCTAAACCCATTTTAAAAATAGACACATTTCCTTCCCAGAATGCCATATAATCTGAGAAAAGTAGAGCAAGAAAAAGAAATAAGGAAGAGTTACATGTAGTCTGATTATCAGGAAAAAGAACTTCAGAACCATTTTGGGGATATACAGGATTTGAAATAGTATCTGACGAAGGACATGTGGCATTCCAAACAAAGAGGGTAGGCTAACTTCATCTAGTGGAAGGTGTCCCTGCCCATGGCAGGGGAGTTGGAACCAGATGATCTTTAAGGTCCCTTCTGACCCAAACCATTCTATGATTCTATACTACAGGCACGAGTGTAACGTACAAGTAATGAAACTAGTATGGGAGGAAAATAGTAATACAGGTAATTGGAGTAGCAAATGAGAGCAGAAAAGACCAGAAAAAATGGCAAGCAAAAATTAACGAGGAACTTTAATTTTATGCAGTCATATACTAGAAATCACTAACGGGGCTCAGGAACAAAAGTAAGAAGACGAAAGTGGTGATAAGCAGGATGAGATAGACAAGCATTTTGAGAAAGAAAACAGCAAACAGAAAAAAATACTGTAACAATGAGGAGGATGGAGCAGAAGCAGATAGCAAGACAGAAGAGCTCTAAAGCAGTGTCTCTAGAATATCCTAGGAGAAACTCCGTCAGCAATAACAAACTAATCTCTGCATGTTAATAACAGTGTGATTACTCTGTAGGTCTGCGTACGTCAAATCTCACTGTAAATTGGTGTTAACTTGCAAAAAGCTGTAAAAACAAAAAAAGAGAATCCAGCTTAAAATTCAAATTCACTGACAAGAAGGTATAAAACAAGGAGAATAAGAAATCTGGTAAAAAAAAAGAAAAGAAATATAATCTGAACGGCATCTACAGAAGTTGCTGAAACAACTGAAGGGTCCTGTGGAAGAAAATGCAGGCAAGACCAAGCAAAACCCTCAAATCATACCAGTGAAGGAAGCCAAGCAGAAGGAAAAACTGATTCAAAATTCTGGGGAGACAGAAGAAAGAAGTGAGACTTCCTCAGCAGAAAAAGGTTATTAGAAAACAGGGCCAAAGCCATTCAGGTAGCATGAAGGAGGATACATGTCAGATGAAGGGGAGTGATGAAAAGGCTGGTAGTTAGCAGCATGTTTGGTAATTCCAAGCAGCAAGGAAACGAGGAGAAGAGAATAACAGTGAAGAATAGCAGGTGAATCCCATGGCTAAGGAAAAAAAGGAGTTCGTAAGAATAAATCAAGAATTTTGAGCAGTAATTACTCAGCACAGTGGACCACACTACACAATTTAGTTTACATTAAATACACAGTTTGTGCCTTACCTAATTTTGAGAAGAACTTTATGAACATGAATGTATTTTCCATCCACTAGAAACTTCAGGTCTGCAGTTTCAGGGTTGTCAAACTCCTTCTTCAGTGACTGGGCTACTGTTAGATGGTCATCAGGCTCTAGAATAAAAAGGGGAATTAATAGTAAGCAGTAAATAATACAAGTATCTCTCATGATAACATCCCAGCTATCTGTCAGTAATTAACAATCTTAATAAATACAACATCTCTCTAAGGCTAGCAAAAAACTCCAGCAGACTATGTGTTCAGTATGAACCTCCAGAAAATCAAATAAAGGGCAGCTTTCTCCAGTCCTCCATAGTTTCTCACTCCAAACAAACATCCCTAACAAAAACAAAGTAAGTGCCACTCTGATAACTCATCTATATAAGGTCAGAAAAAAAAAATTAACACAGTCTCAGAAGTTTAATGCTGCATCTGATAGCAAATGCTACCAGTCATTACTGGGTAAATTATTCAAAATGAAAAGTTTTAGTTATCAATGAAATGAAAAGTGTTAGCTATGCAGGCCACAAAGATGATTCAAGGGCTGGAGCACCTCTCCTATGAAGACAGGCTGAGAGAGTTGGGGCTGTTCAGCCTGGAGAAGACAAGGCTCTGGGGTGATCTTACAGCAGTCTTCCAGTACTTAAAGGGGGCCTACAGGAAAGCTGGAGAGGGACTTTTTACAAGGGTATGTAGTGATAGGAAAAGGGGCAATGGATTTAAACTGAAAGAGGGCAGATTTCTATCAGGTATAAGGAAGAAATTTTTACATTGAGGATGGTGAAACACTAGAACTGGTCACCCAGAGGAGCTGTGGATGCCCCATCCCTGAAGGTGTTCAAGGCCAGGTGCGATGGGGCTCTGAGCAATCTGATCTAGTTGAAGGTGTCCCTGCCCATGGCAGGGGGGTTGGAACTAGATGATCTTTAAGGTCCCTTCCAACCCAAACCATTCTATGATTCTATGATTAAAAGATACTCAAAAGGTCATTAAAAAAATCACAAGATTTTCTAAAATATTCCCATGAGGAGACATTATCTTACAGCAGAAATGTTTACTTTATTTACTTTAAATAAAGTAAATAAAGCTATTACATAACCAACATATTGGTTACAGTAAAACTGCCCAGTACAATATACCTAAGGACAAATACCAAGTTACAGGTCTAAAAGTGTTTTCCCTAGACTTATAGTGTTAGAAGCACTCTTTGTTAATGTCTGCATATTCCTGTTTGTGTCATATGTAGGCATGTCCCACTGTGCACGTCACACTTGCATTGTAAAGTTACCAGACAGCCTTGAAAAGTCATCCATTGTCTGCATACAAATGTTTATCTCCTGAACTGTTGCCAAATCTCCATCATATTTGGTACCCTCAGAGAACTATCTTCTTTAATACTACTAAAAAATTAAACTCCCCCAAATCTCATTCTTCACCCAGAAAACATTTTGTCTTCTTACCATATAAATACATATTATTGGTTTATACAAATTTTGTGGGTCAGTAATAAGCTGTTCTCTAGAGAAAATTACATAAATGCTAAGTCCTGTAACCTACCAAGCTAGAAATGAGAACAGTATTCTGCTGGAAATAGAAAGACTTTCACCATAAGGTCTAGAAAAAAACTTAACACACACACACACACAGAGTTTCATAGAATCATAGAAAGGTTTGGGTTAGAAGGGCCCTCAAAGATCATCTAGTTCCAAGCCCCCTGCCATGGGCAGGGAAACCCTCCACTACACCAGGTTGCCCAAAGCCTCACCCAACCTGGCCTTGAACACTTCCAGGGATGGGGCAATCCACGACTTCTCTGGGCAACCTGTTCCAGTGCCTCACTACCCTCACAGAGAAGAATTTCTTTCTTATATCTAATCTAAATTTCCCCTCTTTCAGTTTAAAGCCATTCCCCCTTGTCCTATCACTACATGCCCTTGTAAAAAGTCCCTCTCCAGCTTTCCTGTATACTGGAAGGCTGCAATACTTATGTAAATGATGGCTTTGTAAGAAGAGTTTGATACTCTTACACCTTGTTCAGCACAATTATTTTCCATTTCATTTAGAGGATGTAATCTATGTTCAGGTACTCCCAATTAAACAATAATTATCAAAATGTGTTGGATTACAGGCAAAAGGTTTGGAGAGACAGAATCCAATGTAATGATAATAAAAAAATCTTTATGAAATAACGATACTAAAAATACTTTGTTAGTTCTTATTTTGTACAATATGATTTATTTATTCAGACCTCTGCTATCCCAACAAATATAGTGATTTTAACAACCAATGCAAAGCTGAAGCTCTACTGTAATAGTTCAAAGGATCCTGCACTACCCTGTCGTGAAGCCTATCTTCAAAGTCAACTGGCAATTCAGATGTCCACCAATATGTATCTCCAGATGACTTCTACAGCCAGAGGTAAGCTGAATATCGTGGGTTTCAGTTGTTAAATTCTAAGAGGGAAAATAGGTGCTTTTATTTGTTACAGCAGTGAAGGGGCAACCAGAGGCAGGAAATGAAGAGGCAGTTCACACTGACAGGGCACAAAGCCAAGAAGAATTGTAATGGAAATTATGTTAGAATTATCACAAACAGGAAATGAATGGGAATGCCTGGGTGTGGAAGTACCAGAATACAACAGACAGAGAAGAGCTGTAAGCATGGCAGATGTCCACAGCATCTAGTTGATCAGATGTTAAGATCCTAGGGACGCAGCTGCCCGCTGATACTCACCACACTTAGATCAGGAGACAAACAACAGTGAGTCAGTCCTGACAACTCACCAAGGTGCAACATGACAGAGAGACTAGTCACTCAGATCCTAGAGCATGCAAAAAAGCACATCTGACACCAGCACAGAGCCTCCTAACTAAATGGAATCCAGAAGACATGATGAGAGCCTGACAGCCAACATCCTTTAGCCTGTGTCATCACAAGGAACACTGCTCAGACCACGTGAATACACATTTTAGTGCCAGGATTCCGGACAGACCACTTGGCACATGTGAGAACACAGGTTGGAAGGCGCATCTGAACTTAGTTTTGTCTAAAAATAAAATAATCTTTTCCTCCTGTAAGGCTTCACCTTGTGCTTTGGTACAACATTGCAACACTGTAGCAATATTATTTCCAAAGAGACCAAGAAGTCAAGGTCAAAAAACCAAAATAAACAAACAAAATAAAAAACCCCCACAAAAATAAAAGGAGCTGCTGCAGTCGAAAACAACTCCCAAGGTGTGAAGCAGTGCAATGAGGCTGGGTGTATTGTTTGCCATGAGAGTGAAGGTGGGGATAAAAGATATGTTGGGAAATAGTTACAAATGGAGTCCTAACCACGCTGTGTTAAAGAGAGTGAATATCTATGAGTACTAACGAGCAATATGTTTATTAATAAATGGGTTACTTGGAAGTCTGCAGCATGAGATGATAATTACATCAATAATCATATATAACCTCTCTCAGGACTCCTTAGGTGACCTAAACCAGCATTTCTGACCTAAAACAGCAGTCGTAAAAGAAGATAAAAAAGGTGAATTTGCAGAAAGGAGCACTGAAAAACTGTAACAGTGTCAGTCTCACTCAAGCAGTTGCCTTCTCTGAGAGGGCTGAAATAAGGAAAGAGGCAGTTTTCACTTCTTGCCTTCCTCTGCTCTCCTTTGAAAAATTCCTTAATATTCTGCACTACACTGAGCAGAAAAGGCAAGAGAAAAAGTAGACGGGAAATTCTGACAGCAGGAAGTAATATTTTAACTGGGAAAGAAGAAATGGAAGCTTTAGAGCCCCAGAATCTTGCTAATGTACATAAGAAGATACGATATAACTGAATTTATGATTAAGCTACGTATACTAATAATGTCTCATTTCCTTAATAAAATAACATAATTCTTATGGAAGAAAAGTTCGAACATACTACAGATACTTTGATGTAGAACTCACAACTGACAAATACATATTTACATGGAATGAATCACCCCATTGTCTGGGATTTTAGTGCAGTTCACAATTTACATCTAATTTGTAGTAGGTAAATATTAGTAATAATAAGAATTTCCACATTAATTAAGGATATATCAGAACAAGACACCCCAGAAAGTACAACTGCCTCAACCTAGAGCAAATGGTTTGGACTGTGCCCTAAACCATGAATTTTAGCAAAGCAGTTTCCTTAGAATAGGATTCTCCATTTAATCCTCTAGTCTCTCAAAGCTGAAATATGAGTACTATTAACAGAATTTCCTTACCTTGGCATCCAGAAGGCACCAAGGGAGCAAAGAGTGTCCTACCATTGTCAGACAAAAGCATACAGCAACACAAAAGCAATTACAAAGGCAGTACGGAAGTGAAAGGGAAGTATGATGGACTCAATACAGTTCAAATTACAAATTAGTAAGTTGCTGCATTCTACTTTTTAGCTTAAGCTCTCAGATGACAGCTACAGACAACCTCAAGATTTTCATCTTCAATTAGGTCAGCAAATTCTGTCAAACCAATATGGAATTGAATTTGTAGCTGAAGAATGAACTCTCTGCTAGACAATGCTATATGCTTAACGCTTTCTAGTCAAGGCGACCAAGACAGACCTTAATGTTAGTCAAATACAGGAAATCCAGCAACTTGACTCTTCAGAAGCCCAGGTCATGATCACTTGTGATGAGACTCTTAGTGCCTGTGGCCAATTCTGAACATGGGAATTTGGCTCCCTCAATTCTTAGTGGTCTACTTAAGGACATCAAAGAAAGCTTCAGGGTTCCAAAACATTCTGCGCAGCTCCCTCAAGACTCCAAATTCAAACTCGGCTTCTCCGCCCATGGCCATTGTACAGTAACATTCAGTGGTTACATAAAAAAACCCTCACCAAATCCAAGGCATTTCCCCACAGAACTAAACCACGTCAATAAAACAGATAACTATTTAGCACTGCCACCAGGCCTTAGCAGTTTTTTACAATTCCATATTACCATTTACACCTATGTAACATATGATTATGATTATGCTTCCCAGCATAAATTTTTGCAAGAAACTAAATTTAGGCTTCAAATACAAGCAACTGTTTTATGCACTAATTATTCTATTTAGGAGATGTCAAAACAAAAAATATTTAATCTCACCTACAGACAGAAGACGCCACATCACGGCAGGGGTAGCAAAGCAAGCAAACACATCGTCAGTGCAGGCAAAGTGAGTGAGGTGGGGAAGGATCACTGACTGGCCACGGCACTGGCCCCACATGTACACCTGGCCACTCTGGGTCTTGGCAGCTGACGTGTGAGCAGAGTGGCAGGCTGCAATCTCTATAACTCTAAATTTACAAGCAAACAAAGAAAAAAAAGCAAGTCACTCTCATAAGAACAAAATGCGGTGAAGAAGCTCACTACCTCCTGTCTTTCTCTGGTGCAAAACATATTTGTAAGCATGCATGCACTTCCAATCGCAAAAATGTTTTCCTATCATACACAGCAAAATTAAAAGGGCTATCAATGTTTCTTCAAATAGCGTGCACTCAGAAAGATTCTCAGCGAAGAAGCATCTTAGGAGTGAGAAGACACTGTTGCAGCAGAGCAGAATATCTGCTGCAGCACATGCTCTACTGATCCCCTCGGCTCCCTCAAACAAAGCTATGATGAGTTTCAAGTCTCTCAATGTCCTTGGTGGTGCTGGGCAGTGAGGTGAGTGGCTGCATTAAGCTGTAGAGAAGGGGTACTTGGAGAAGATGGAGAAAGAAATGAGGAGGCGTTTCAAAAAAAATTAAAACCAGCAAAAAACCTAAAATCTTTCTCCTGCTTGCTTACTGTTATAACAGTTATAAACCAAAAATTTAAACATACTTCTTTTAATTAAAATACTGAAGTGTCATTACTCATACAATTGTGATTACTTATGTTTAAATTACTTTCATTTTGAAAATTAAAAATTGGAAACAAACAGCACTAAAAGCTGTTTCTAAATATATTTTAGCTATGTTAGGCTATCTCACTAATCCTAAAGTTGATTTAGGGTTTCAAAACTCCCACTGTGTACATTACACAATCCATTGTTTTGCAGTCTGAACTACTGCTCATTTACTTGTTTTCCCAGCTGCCTAGGGAAAATAGCTGGGAAACAACTTGTTTAAAGATGCATGTACAAATCTTGCAGGCTTTAGTGAGCTAATAGTCTCACTGACAACAGGAATGCATATTCTGGCCAACAAAAGGGAAAGGCACCATACAACATTAAAATTTGTATTAAAACGTGGTAACATTTTAACTGCAGCCAAAGTGTCTGGAAAAAATTAAGTCACATTTTAAGCAAAAGCACAAACACACATACAGTGAGGTTCAAAAACAGTCCCTGTCTCATCACCAGAGAGGAGCTGTCTCTTCCTTACAATAACGTACAAAGACACAAGTTTAAGAGGGACATCTCACTTCTCGCATTTTTCACAACAGGAGGCCAAAATCAAGACCTCAGTAGTATGGGGAAATATCCAAATTTCTGGCCACATACACATGGTTTTACATGAGCAATAGAAATAACTGCCCCACTACCTGTCAAGGACTTACAGGAAAACATTTAACTTCTAAAAATCTAAGCTTAATTTTCAGGCAACAATACCAAGAAAGAACTCCTCCCTTTCTCTCTCTCCTGGATTACAAGTCGGATTTAATAGAAGAAATAACACAAATTGCAGATGTCCACTCATCACATTTTCTGAGTGTACTTATTGTCAGAAGTGGCATATTAAAATACAATTTATATTCAGAGACAATAAAGCTTTTATCATTGACTTCAAACCACAAAACTGCACCACTGAAGAGAAACTGCAATTAAGGCCTGTACAGCACAGTGAGAGCCAAAGCAGAAAATAGCATATTCGGGTTCAGAACATTCAGTTTCTCTTTCACAAGGATGGTTATGGGGCAGATTCAATCACCTTCAGTAAAAGCCAAACTTTAATGCACTGATTTTGTATGTCAGACAAATTTTCAATCTCTTCACATTTAGCAGAACCACCACTGCAAATGTATAGGCTATTTCTTCCAAAAAATAGATTAAAAATGCCGTAATTTTCTGTAGCTCTTCTGAGAGTATGCCAACTAATGTTTGGCTGCTAGAGTCTAAGTATTACCTGTCCTTATCCACAATAACTGTTGTAGGGTAAGACTGGTTACTTTTATTCCCAGTACCTAACTGGCCATATGAATTGGCTCCCCAGGCATAAATCTGACCTTCATCTGTCAGCACTAATGTATGTGCATAGCCACAGGCAACCTACAAGGAATAATAAAAAAGAAAAATCTCATTTTTATGTAACAGTAAGTTAGTACAGACAGATACATGTTATACTATACATTAATGTCATTGATTCTACCCCAGTGTAAAAATTACACAAATTATAAATACAGATAAGTTTATTAAAAAGGGAAGCAAGACTTTGAGGATAAAAAAGTATCAATGAGGAACCTGGCCAGATAATCTCAAGGGTACAGCAAAAGAATAGCTAGAAAATGAGAAAAAATTTAAAGTTATATGACAAACATGAACAGTATGAAGAAAAAATACGGAAAAAGGCAGATTAAGTCTTGCCCTGACCTTGCTCTATGAACAACTGCTCCAGTGTGAATAGCTTACCACCGTAAAAACTGGCAAGGTCTCCCTATCTGCTCCTCTCCTCCCTGACTGCCAGTCACACAAAGCAGCCCCTTCCACGTGCCAGTTCTAATGCTCACCGGATCCTCTGCTGAGATAACTTACATCACTGGAAGGAAACTCTCCACAGCTGGGCCTGAGGACCACCAGTGCCCACGCAAAGTAAGCAACAGGAGCAGCCAGCCAGGAAAGAGAGGGAGGAGATGAAACTCTCCATCTGGCTGGCAGCACACAACTGTGTCAGCTCATACCCTCCTGTGGAAACCCACTGGCTCCTGCTGAGCTGCCTCCCCAGGTACCTCGCGTAAGGTTGCTTGGGTGTCCACTTTACAATCTATATACACAGCACATGCCCCGCATAGAGATACACAGCAGCAAAATTACTAGCAACAGCCTTGCTTTGCATGAGTTAATGGAACCTCTTACAGCTAGATGGCTATCAATATCCAATTTACATTGTCCAAATCTAGCTCATGCATCTTGATATAAATCTGCAAAGCAGATATACCATAAGTACATGTAGTCCACTGCCATCCATGAAGCATGTGACGTGCTTTAAACAAAATAAATAACTTAAGGGTTTACTGATTGGAGGTCTGCAACTTGGTATTAATCGACATCAAGCAAATGAAGTGGATGGAAATAAGACCTAAGTCAAACTTACTGGAGCACTCATACGCTCTAAACAGGGGAATAAACACAGGGGAAAACAATATTCACTTTATGACGTTATTCTCCAACAACAATTGCTACCAGCCAAGCTACTGTCTACATCCTAGGAAATGAATGTAAAGCTATGTAATTCAATGAGTTTATTTCAAAAGCTTTAAAGAAATCTGTAACTTCCCAGAGTAAATGTAATGAATAGGATCCAAAGTTCAAAACGTTCTTGTAAATCTTCATTAGTTTACAAAAACAATGTTTTCTAGCAGAACGTGTCATTTTCCAGACATTATCCTCTATTTTTTATAAATCGATTAAAAACTTTCAGTATCAGTTCTGCAGTTACCTTAAATATTTCTCATCAGTTAAAAGAAGTTACCGGTTTGCTAGTCACCCAGTTACTTGGTAAAGTGCAATAACCACCCAAGATCAAGACTAACCATTGTATCATACCAATTGACCAAAAGCAGTTGGGAGACAATTTGTTCGGACTCCAAACATCAGTTAGTCACTGTGGCTGAAGTGCAATTCTAAAAGTGCTATTCAGTCTGCCAGAAAGATGAAATGCTAAACTGCAACCTTTTCCCAGAAAAGAAGACAGGGGCTAATGAAGAATGGGGTAGCCTAAGATTTTATGATTTACTAAAATAACAGGTTTGTTTGTTTTTTTTTTTAATTAAGTTTCACAGAAAAAAAAAAAAAAAAGACTAAACATTTCTAATGCCCTAGTCCTCTTTATGTAAAATCCTGACCTCACTGAAGTCAATGGCAAAACTCCCACTGAACTCCACAGGGTCACAGTTTCTCTCCTACTGACACGGGTCCGTTTTAAGACACGTTTTCATTCTGGTCAATGGAACTTCAAACAAAGAGACAAAGAACTGTCTCCTTCAAATGTAGAACACGCCTTAGCACGTTTTCAGATGTTCATGAAGGGTTTGGCAGGGAGCACCACACATACCCGCTGCACACGAATGCCTTGCAAAGCTGCGATCCGGCACGGCGTTGGCTGGTTGCCGCTGCTGCCCAGTCCGAGCTGCCCGTTTCCATTGTAACCCCAGACATAGACCTTAAACACAGACACAGGGATTTTAACTCTTTGCTGCTACCTGCTTCTTTTGAAAGCAATATCGCTACTTCAGAGTTACAATAATAATTTTCTTCAATATTTCCTGTCCTCACCTTAGGATCTGTACACAGACACACACAAATGCACATGCATATATACATACCTATATAAACGTACCTATATAGATACATACATATACACGCACACGTATATATGTTCTTCCGCACTGCAAATTTTGGCTGCTGCTTCTGTTTAAAATACCAGCTGCATGCTCATCTAAAATTCTAAACCTCCATTTCACGTTGCTCTTTAAAAGTTAGATTATGTAAGACTACAGGATTTTAATACGAAGAGTAGAAAATAAGTGATTCACACGGCTGTTTCCCAGCACAGAGCAAATTCAACACTAATACTTCCCTTTTTCAAAGAGCTGATTTCTAACAGATCCTCTAACAGAAAAGTAAACACCCTAAACCAAGCATAAACTGGAAGCTATGCACAACAGTTTGAGTAGGCTGTTAACAGCTTTATGGTGAACATAAGAAAAAGGGAAAAAACTTCAGTGACACGTTTTATGGCAAATGGTCAATAGATAATTAAGTCTAAACTGAAATGCTTGGAGCGATGTAGCTAGGGAGAATGTAGGCTGCCCAAAATCTTCAGCTCATGAACTAAACCAAAAACATTACAACCTCTTCATATCTTTGCAATGAGGATAAGATAGTATGAGAGGGATTCAAGGGGTATAGCAGTAGAACAAATATATGCAATGTGCTTTTATTTCTCTGTTTTCTCTTGAGATAAAGTGTGCATGTATGAGCACTAAATGAACATTCACTGATTATTCTCACATTCTTGATACTTACGATTCTAGTATAGACAATATTTTTTTTTCTGTGAATGCTAAAGACAGCAGTGGGATAACATATTAATCAGCACTTTCATTTTTGCTAGAATATAATACCAGCTCTAAAAATCAGTAAATCAGTGACAGAAACAAAGTTATTTTTACATATGAGAAAATGAAGCTAGCATGAAGTGTGAAATATACATACACAGATTCGGTATGATTTAATCCCAAAATTTGTAAAAATCTCCTGACCTTCACAATCCTATTTTTTATTTCAGAACTGTACTTTCAAGTAAATTTGAAATTTGGTACTTGAATTCCTTCAACCCAAAGCCAACTTCAATAGTTGGTACAAAGTAATAGTAGCCAAATTTAATGAGTAATCTCACAAACCAAAAAGCCATAAAACAAATGTTAGTGAACAATTTTCCCTGTTTCACTCTGCTTCCTTTCTAAAGAAGAAACCATAATCAGCATGGATAGGAAGATGTGCTTAAGTACGTCAGAATGTGCAGGACAACGTATGACAGGTTTTTACAAGCAGTATAAGCAGGTAGATTTGAGGGAGTGTGGAAAGGTATGCTTCTTTTCCGAGTAGTAGCTCATTACTGACAGATTTGAAATTATCTACATCCCATGATATTACATAAAGTCAGAAAATTCACTTGAAGTTTCTTACCTCTCCATTTTCCACCACAGCCATAGAACACATCTGTCCACAAGCTATATTTACTACTACTTTATTTTGTAGGCAGCTGGTAACTCTTCGAGGAATTGGTTGATTAGCTGTTGAACCAGATCCAACTTGGCCTGAGTTATTATAACCCCATGTGTACACCTGTTGTAAGAGAATTGTCATAAAAGAAGACTACATAACACACAGTTCAAAGTACACATTCAAGAGAGAAAAAAGTTACACATATAAAAAATTGCGTTTTGAGTTCAAGTGGATATATTCTTTTAAATATCTAGGAACGTACATAGTTTACAATTTAATTGTTTCTATCAAAAATATGCCACTCACACTATTTACATATTCCATTCCTTTATGTTCCCCCAAACAAAGGTAAGAGGTAACATGACAGTTGCATTAATGCTGGAAGAATTCATTGCTAGTGCTCCAGAACACAAAGTAGAATGGCTAACTGGACACAAACGGGACCTCAAAGTGAACGACACAAAACTTTTTACTTTGGTGGATAGAACTCCTTACATGAACGTGATTCATATCAAAATCAGCTTTAACTCCACTAAGCATTTACAGCAGAGTATAGCATAGGAAGGATGCCCTCTACGAAGAAATTATATTTTCTTACTACAAGCAGATGTGGTACAAAAATCAATATTCTGCACACACTTCAAAGCAGCTAAATCCTAACAGGTTTTCCATTTTTATCAAATATTTTTGTTGCATCAGCACTGTGAGGATAGCAAGAAGCAAGGCCTTTTTCAAGGTCTGCTCTAGGTGCAGAATGTTTTCCTGTTCTCACATATGTGAATTTCATTAGGAGCAAAGAGAGACTTATTCCAGGTATTCTCACCTCTCCATCAGATGTTAACACCATAGAATGATGAGAGCCACAGGCAACTTCAATTACTTTCTTGTTCACCAAGTTAGTAGAGACTTGACAGGGAACGAAACTATGATTCGTTGTACCATTGCCCAACTGACTATAAGCATTATGACCCCACGTATACACTTCTCCTTCTATAATAAAAATGTAAAAAGGTGGTTTAAAATCTCTATTTTTCCAATGTACACAACGCAAAATCACAAACTGAAAAGTCAAATTCAACAACAATATATACATTTAAGTGTGCATATTCATACATGTGCCATTGGGGTTTTCCCATGGACATACGAAGGCTACCTTCACACAGTGTTGATCACAAATCCAAAAGGACAGTATCACCATAAACTTAGCAGAGGAAATCACATAGCTAAAAGAAAGGAGGCATTGCAATACAGAAGAGAAAGGGAAATAGTCAGCGGTCCCCATTTCAATGTCTTTGTTACTGACAATCAATCAGAATTTCTTGTCTATGCCCTGGCACTGTTTCCCACTTTGGGAAATTCAAATAATAAGCTTTCATTCCTTTACAATACACATGAAGACACTTGTAAGAAAAACTTATTATTACTTATTAATAAACATACTATTATTTACTCATTATTTAAACATACTATTCATGTTCTGTATTTTGAGAAACATGCTAGTAAAATCAAGAATGTAAGAAATGTCTGAGTGGGTTAGACCATTGGTCCACCTAGTGCAAAATTCTGTCTCTAACTGGCAACAGAAAAAAGATGTTGTTTAAGGGAAATATAAGCCTGGTCACTTTTTGCAGTTCCCAAGCATTTATAATCACTGGAGTACAGATATTACCAGGTACTTCTGATTCTCTCTAATGTACACACATTGGCCCGCTATCCATGAAGCTAACACTTTTCCTACTCCCTTTCTTTCATCAGTTTTAAAACAAATGTCCTCTAGTTACAGTAGTATAGGACTTGATGAATAGTTGTCCTACATTGATCTGTCTATTATCGTCATCATCATTTTCTAAACCTAAATTATGCCTAATTATTGTAGGAGAGCTAGGTTTGACATACAACTCCATCAGATTTCTAAAGAAATCACTAAACTCCTTATCCCTATAAGCGTTCGCTCAGAACTACAAAGCAAAATGTGCTACACTAAACTAGTATTTCTCTACAATAACAGGTTAAATCTAATTACTTTACCCTGTCAAAAGCAAATAACCTTCTCTTTGTTTCACCAACTTGAGGATACAAATTTCAGTAAGCAGGTGAAACAGCCATATAGAAACATACAACATAAACTGGAAATGATAGTAATTAACACAAGAATTGTGAAATACCTAATGGCTGCCTGAAAGGTAGTTTAAAAGAGGCTGTGCTGAATGGGAGTTATTCATGTGTTGTGGTTTAACCTGGCAGGCAGCTAAACACCACACAGCCATTTGCTCACAGTTACGAGTACAAATCATCAAGGATTAGTTCTGGACCCGTGCTTTTGCAAGCTTCAGTTCATCAACTGGGTAAGGAGCACGTCAGTGAGACCTGCCAGCAACAAAGCTCAGAAGAATACAGATACACATATAAAAAGCATCTAGAACGGTCTACCCTGAAGATGGGACAAAATGGTGGAATGTTATTGAATATAAAGAACAGTTACATATTTACAACACAATTCCCTTCACCCACCTTTAGTCATCTAATCTACACTAATTGAAAAAATTACTTCTCATTAATGGAGAGACACAAATGTTCACATCATCACTCAGGCTGTAACCGAATCTCACTGGGAAGACAATATTAGTCATTTGTCTTCAAGAATGATGTACTTAATTATGAACAGAAGGACCACTACCATGATGTGGATAAGAGTGTCAATGAGGCAACAGCAAACAAAAGGCTTAGAGGTGACATAACTGGTCTTTAAAGCACATCCAAAAGTAGGTAAAGGGGAGAAAAGATGCAATTTAGATAAAGGACAATGTTAGCACAAGAACATATGGGTATAATGTAGCCACTAATGCATTTCAAAGCAATCAGCAGTTCCAAACTTAACTGCAAAGTTAAAAAAAAAAGAAGCTTCCAAAAGTAGTAACAAGGTCAAAGCAAAGCTTGAAAAACTTTTGAAAAGAACAGAGCTAGCTGACATGTCATGAAAATATGTTGGACTTGATAGCCTAGAATGTCTATTCTAATTCTCTACGTTACCAGCACATCTTCCATACCTGCTGCACTAATTAAAGTGGACTATCTGAAAAAGCAATATTTGGATCATACTTTACCTTCTGTAGCAAGAACGACATGAGGGCCACTTCCGTAACTCAGACAGGCTATCTTTTTGCCACACAGTGAATCCAACCTCCTTGGTTCAATAGTGCTCTGCATGTCACCCGTCCCCAAACACCCACTGCAGTTCATGCCAAGCACAAAAACCTGTTATAAAAGAATCACAGAATAATTTAAGTTGGAATGGAGGACCTCCTCCAAAGGTCTACTAGTCCAACCCCCCTGCTCAACAAAGGTCTAAACAGATCAGTTGACTCAAGGCCATGTCCAGTCAAGTCCTGAACATCTCCAAGGAAAAAATCTCACAAGCCTTTTAAAATTTAACCACTCTCATGCTAATTTTTTTTTCCTAATACCGAATCAGAATTTTCCATCTTCCAGCTTGTGTCCACTGCCTTTCATCCTGTCACTGTGCACCTTCAAGAAATGTCCAACTCCATCTTCTCTTTATCCTCTGATTGTAGTAGGAAACCACTAATTTGAACTAGAAGTGTTTTAGTAGCAATCAAAATTATCAGACATTTTTGCATGCAACTATTTCTAGGTATACTATCACAGTACTGGCTTTCAGAATAACTTGATACATAAATGACTAAATATGTCATGTTCATACACACTCTCGGACAATTACCTCATCGTTTTCGGTTGCATACAACACTTCATTACCAGCACTGCCAAATACACAGGCTTGACGAATTAACTTGAGCTCTTCTTGGGAACAGAGAGAAAAAATTGGCCACTTCCCAACATCCAGCATCTTCAGGGCTGACAATAATGTTGCCTCCAAGACCTGATATTATAAAAAATTATATCAAATACCTAGACCAAGAGAAATACATACCTTTGCACTGTAAAAAGGAAAAATTTAGAGAAACACCACAATCCCCTTTTCCAACCACAAACCAGTATTTTAATTCTAGATCTAATCTGTGTCTTTTCCTCTGGTCCTAAAATTGCTGTTAAAAGAAGAAATCATAAAAAAAAAAAGTCTGCCCAAGAATATACTTATCTTTGAAAAATACACACATTTGTTTTCACATATTGAAAATGGAAACTTGAGAAAACCTGAGAAACTTTTTCCTTTCTCCTTTACTTCTGAAATTTACTTCTGTGTTTCAACACTTATTGAATCTTTGGGAATTTCCTACGAATATTTGCATTTTATGTAAGTAGACATATAATAAAAGAAAAAAGGTAATTAAAAATCCAAGGAAAAATGACAAGTTTACAGTTAAAGGAAAAGAATAACAGGTCTCTCCAGACATTAAAACTAGTCAAGCTAATGTCTGAATCTCACGCTACATTTCTATTGCTTTAGTATAGAATAAATCAGAAAAATGCTGCAGTGTCAAAATTTAATTGCAAATTTTGCATGGAGCACGCATCAAATTTTCTTTACTGAAATTAAAACAGGCTCTAGGTGTGAAAGAAAAGCAGCATTACTTGCCAGATTAGAAGGTAAGTAAGAACAGGTTTTGCCTATCACAGGCATTACATAGTTCACCACGTTAACAGTGAGGATTGCATCATTAGTTTATTTTTAGCAGACTTACAAAATGATCTGTTACAGAACATAACTCTTTCTACCTCTGACTGAAACAAAGATGTAAATCAATTCTAGTTTGGAGTCTGAAGCACATTATGTTGTCAGGATATTGTGGTTTTGATTAGTATCACTTACTATGAAAGAATGTACACAGAAACATAGATAATATCTGAAACTACAGAAATAAACCCTGAATTGATCCTGACCTAAAATCTTTAAACAAACAGCAGTTAATCACACACTTCTTCACAATATACTTCTGAGGAAGGAAAAGGAGGGTTGATCATCTTCACTAAAGAAAAGCTGTGGTTTTGATCACACCAGTTCTTTTTCCATCTCCTCACACCAAGTGACCAATTTCAGCCAAATTTGCAAATGAAAGGGAAGTAAGATTCCGCTGACACAATCCATTTGGCAGTAGGCAGCTGGACAATCAGATGCGCATGTTGCGAAATAAGTCAGCAAGCAAGTCCAAGCTCGTCCTAGCAAACGCTGTCCTCACATAGCAGGGTTATAAGAGACAAAGGACATGAACCCATACGGAATCAGGCTTCGTTCCTCTGCAGTTCACTTTATTTTTTCCCTATTATTATTTCAAGAGGTTAGCATTAATTCTATGGAGGATTTTAGGCCCTTCTAAAATATGATAATGAATACTGAAAGCATCACAGACTACTCTTCCAATTGCATCAACAAATCTGCATCCCACTTTCGTTAAAGACTGATGAAGCCTGAGGTTCAAAAGGACAGTCAGGGTGTTCTTCAATTGTACAGATTCCCTTACTGGAATAACATATTGTTTGTTTTAAAATGTGGGCTCTAAATTCGAAGTACACAGTGGGTCAGAATTCATTCACCTTGAACAGAATTTTTTTTTTTTTTCCCGTAACCTCTTTCTACAAAGCACTCATGTTCACTCATAATGAACAGGTTAAAAAAAAACCCAAATTGTAGCATTTCTCAACACTAAAATAATACATTGAAGGAAAAAAAAACAAACTACTCTTATAAAAAGCACCCAAGGAAACACTTACGATACTGATTTTTTTTAAACAAAGCAAATACTAACAAACTTTATTAGACTGAAAAAATATCCATAATCTAAATCCTGTCTCTGGAATTATTAGTTACATTCAACTCATTAAGAGATATTCTCTCACCTTTCAAGATTTTATTCCCTCCCACACCTGTCCATAATATTTTGTCCCCAAAATATGAAAAACAGCTTGAACTATCAGCCCGCCAATATTCATGTCACATAAGTGATCAGTTCCCTCATTATGTTGCACAGTTACGAAAGACAGAGTTAGATCAAAATCTGAGATTTCATACAGTCCAGCTACCTACCCCCCAAAGGTGTACCAGTTATGCCTCAAGAATTCCTAAAATTTCTGCACTTCATTTCACCCCAGCAATTAGTCTGAAAGCTGCTTATTCAGTTTTATTTGTCATACAGATCACCTCAAAAGGCCTCATCATTACACTCAAAACCTGAATGATGTTTCATTAAGTTTTACATGCATTTCATTAAGTTTTACATTACATTTCTTTTACATACAAAGAAAACAAGAGAAAAATGAGAGGTAGCTTTTGCATCAAATTATGCTACAAAGTTAATTCTAACAAGTTTATGTTGTTGAAACATTAGGCTGGAACATGTGACTTTAGAACTTAATACTAAATTAAACCAGCCTTGTAAGCCAAAGGAGCAATTCAACCTAATCAAAACAAATATATTGTTCTAATATTTTGTGGATCAACACAACATTTCTTTCACTAGTATCATTCTCCTACCTACAGTTTTGGTTTTCTGTTTATCTTGAAAGATACAAGCACGTACTAAGCTACCGCTAAATGGAACCAAGCTTCTTCCTTTTGAGTAAAGCAGTACGCAAATCTCAATACAAATTCACACTCTGACCTTGACACTGACTCCTTGAGAAGGAGGAGATTCATCCTCCATAGGGATTTGTGCTTGTGTCCTCCTGCAGAGAGAAAACTGTGGTTAAAATCACCATATCGTGTTGCTGCAATTTATGGAACTATACACACTTAATATTAAGCTAAAACTATTTGCTTCTGTGGGGTGAGAAAACAAGAAACAAGAAGCTCAGTCAATTTTGCTTTTATATTCAACTATACAGTGATCAGCTAGAGTCAGCTCTTCTGTATTTTTACCTAAACAAATAATTCTTTGACAAAACATTTTTTGAAAACAAGTAGTAAAATTAATCAGACTGTGATTGGAAAGGATGGAGTTCTGTTAAACACAATACTCAAATGTCTCTTTATTGCAGTAAAAATAAGTTTAGAATCTTGCTGATGTAATTTTTCAAGACATTTCTTTCAGCAAAGAAAAAGTGCACTGGTTGGAGCTTTTAATTTCTGACTTAAGTCTTCAAATATTCTAGTTCCATTCTGAAAACCGGTGTTAGAAAACATTTGGATCTTTTCAGGTTTGCTGAAATTGTTAAAGTATTCACTCTGTTTCAGAAAGTATTGCCAGCCCTGTAAACAACTTGTATAATTCCTATGACACGCATCATCAGAGAAACAAATTTTCAGATCAGATGTTTCTTGCCAAATAAATATGCACAACTCTACTATCCTTGAATTACTTCCTAACATAAAGCCATTCAACTCAATTTTCAGTAAAACTGCAAAAATGAGCAACCAGGTCTGAAGCTTTCTCAACAAGTGAGACAGTTGTACACATCATTTTCTTTGAGGTACATTGGTTCAGCCAATGCCAGAAATCTGTTTAATTTTCACTGAAAAGTAAATGTCTCTAAAATTCTGACTACAGGCAGAAAAACATTCAACAAACAAGGAGTTACCATTTTAGTTAGTTACTTTTCAGAGGCATATCACACTTTAAAAGAAGTATCAAATGTAGCTTTACAAAACTACCTAACTTACTGCTAAACATGTCTCTTACGTAAGACACTGTGCCATAAGACCTAGGCCAAGGACATGGAATACAAGAAATTCATATGATTTAAATATTATAAATGCTAATGATTTAACAAATATGATTTAATTTACTGAATAAAAAAAATAATATTTATTTTCTCGAAACAAATAAAAAACCGGACAATTCCTGCAGCGTAAATATACTGAATATGCACACTTAAGCTTATACTTTAAAAAAAACCCCGCAAACCTGCATACGCACAGTATATTTTATGCATTTACTTTGAGACATTAAATGATAAACTCAGCTCCTGTGTGAAAGTCCAGCTACTTTCTTGTTCATGTTGACCGTGAGCTTAAGGCTCAAACACACAACCAAACTGAAACAACTTGAAGCTAAGTTATGGTCCTTCCAACTTGTAAAGACTAAAGGGCTGATTCAGTTGCCCACACATTAGCACCTACTGCTATCTGAGATGACCTTGGGGATCCCTGACAACAAACGGTGCTCGCGGAGACAATACAGGACCTACAGGGTAACCATGCCATGCTGGAACAGCAGCTAAGAACTAAATGGCACTAGACAGTTACAGATGTGCAACTGGACAGAGCTCTGAAGGAGCACACATAGCCCATTACCAAGTTTTACAACTTAATGGATGCAGGGTAACTCATTAGCTCTTGCTGTTAACCGATTTGTTATTTTCTTCAACATAGAATCATAGAAACATAGAATGGTTTGGGCTGAAAGGGACCTCAAAGATCATCTAGTTCCAACCCCCCTGCCATGGGCAGAGAAATCCTCCACTACACCAGGTTGCCCAAAGCCTCATCCAACCTGGCCTTGAACACTTCCAGGGATGGGGCATCCACAACTTCTCTGGGCAACCTCTTCCAGTGCCTCACCACCTTCAATGTAAAAAATTTCTTCCTTAGATCTAGTCAAAATCTCCCCTCTTTCAGTTTGAATCCATTGCTTTTTGTCCTATCACAAAACACCCTTGGAAAAAGTCCCTCTCCAGCTTTCCTGTAGGCCCCCTTTAGGTACTGGAAAGCTGCTATAAGATCACCCCAGAGCCTTCTCTTCTCCAGGCTGAACAGCCCCAACTCTCTCAGCCTGTCTTCATAGCAGCGGTGCTCCTAAAACCACGACAAATACTAATGATGATTCTCATTTGCCTTTTTGTAGGAATTTTCCCTCCAGAAAAATAACCATTTTATATACAAAGAGCATGTCGTGGTTTTAGGCTGATCCAGCAACTAAAACTCACACAGTCTCTCCTTCTCCAGTAAAGTAGAGAGGAGAGAAAAAAAAAACAACAAAGGGACTGAGGGTTGAGACAAGAACAGAGGGAGCATCCACCAACCATGGTCCTGGGCAAACCAGACA